ACCCTCCCAATCCCTCTTCTTCCCCTTCTTTCTTTCTCTTTCCTTCTTTCCTACCTGGGTCGATGGAAAGATGAACCCAGCAGGCAAAACCAGCCTTCCTTACCCTCCCAATCCCTCTTCTTCCCCTTCTTTCTTTCTCTTTCTTTCTTTCCTACCCTGGTTTGGTGGAAAGCTGGGTTCATCGGAACCCAACATAGAAACATCCAACATTTGGTAAAGAGGGAAAGTACCCAATGGAGGGCTCTAGGCTCTGCGTGCTCCTACCCATTTTCTTGCTCAACGATGACTTGCCAATAGATAACTCTAAGCTCAAGAGGAATGTCACCGGTATGTTTCCGGAGCAGATTGCGCTTGCCATTTCCTCACCAACTTCAATGTGGGTCTCTTGGGTCACGGGTAGTTTCTTTCCAGATGTTGATTTTGCTTCTGTTCTTGTTTGTGCTATTATGGGTTCTTTGATGGATTCGTTGATTTTGGGTTGATTTGTGTTGGCTCAGGGGATGCTTAAATTGGCTTCAATGTGACTGCGCTCGATACATCATGGGGAACCCAGCAAAGCTGGGTTCGATTGAAACCCAGATCTCCTGGGTTCCGATGAACCCAGCCTTGCTGGGTTTCGTCGAAACCCTGTTGGGTTCGGTTGAAACCCAGCAAGGCTGGGTTTCGACGAACCCAGCCTGGGTTCATCGAAACCCAGATCTGCTGGGTTTCGATGAACCCAGATTTGCTGGGTTCGTTGAAACCCAGTCGACGCGATTTCCATTGTTGATTTACAATTTGATTGATTTTTGTTAGAATTTAATTAGAGTTTGATTGTATTTTTGTTGAAATTTGATTAGAGTTTGATTGATGTTGTTTATTGAAGGGTTAGTTTGATTTGATAACATCTGTTATGTTAGGTTTGAGTCTTTAATGAAACCCAGTAGCTGGGTTCAATGGCAGAGAATTTCAAATTCTCCTTTGAAGCATTCTAGGGTTCATAGGGTTCATAGGGTTCATAGACATATTATTTTGTGAGGACTTTACTGCTAGTGCAACCCAACTTGAGTTAGATTGATTTTGCAGAGAGTGAAGATGAGAAACCATTCTAGGGCTCACATATCTTTATTGGTGGTTTGCAGGCAACGTGAGACGGTGTTGGGGAAAAAGATGACATGTCATAAAAAAAGAGTCCAGTTCAGCACATTTTTATGTTGTTCTTGCCATATCATCAAAAAAAAAATAAAAAATGCCACGTGGTTGAGTTAACGGCCGAAATTGACAGAAGGACAAACGTTGTGCATTTCTTAGAGTTGAGGGATCAAAAAAGTGCAAAAAATTGTTGAGGGATCAAAAATGTGCATTTCGTAAAGTTGAGGGACCAAATTTAGCATTTAACCTTCTTTAAATAATAATTGAAGTTGTTTTTTTATATTACTTTTAACAACAAACTTGTTGTTTCTAAATACTATTTTTAGAAATAATTATAATTGTTGCAAAATATAACTTTTGGTAACAATTTATGATATTATTAAATAATACTTTTGACAACGACAAATAGTGAAGCTAAAAGGTAATATCGTAACTATTATTTTGTTGTTATTAATATTTACCTATGACTCATAAGCGTAGGTATTTCTCTTTACTTGTGGTATTTTAGATGTAGGTATAGGCTCATTAAACTTTTACCTACAAAATGTAAAAGTGTAAGAATATGTACAAAAGTGTAGTTAGATATCTATAGTTACGGGACATATACTTACACTTTTTTTAATGTAGGTATAAGTCTTGAAAGGCATATACCTACAAATTTTTATCATATATCTACGGTTTTTGTCCATACCGGTATCCACCTCGAAGCCTTCTGTAGATTGAAGTGTACCTAAACACACTATCATATATAAAACTAACATATATAAACTTTATCCTTTATTTCCCACCTTTAGTGCCTTTAGTTCAGCTCCATTTGTTTTTCTGGCCCTTCCTCCAGCTTCCTTTCTCCTTCTCTTCTTCCTATCTTCATCCTCTTCTTCCCATCTTTTTTCTCATACCAATATATTTTCGGTCATTTTGGGAGTGGCTGATGTAGAAAGGAGAAATTGGGCTTTATTGGGTAAAAGGTGGTTTAGGTTTGGTGATGGGATTAGGGTTTATGGAAGAAAGTGATTTGGAAAAAATATTATGGGGGTCGCAGCAAGGTTGATATTACATCTTTTCGAGTTTTGCATATGTCTCAAGTGTGGAAGGACATAGTGAAGGTTTGTAAGGAGTCAGGTAGGTTGGGTTTAATGTTAGAAAAGGGTTTTCAATGGGAAGTTGGAGATGGAGGTCGTGTGGTTTTTTGGGAAGATAAGTGGGTGGGGGATAAATCCTTAAAGGATTTATTTCCAAGGTTATTTGTGTTAACAATGGCTAAGGAGGTGCTGTTGAAGGATATGGAATTTTGGTCTACCGATCATTGGGTATGGGATTGTCAGTGGAGATGAGATTGTACTGGAAGAGTTGGTGATGAGGAAGAAAAGTTTGGGGAGGTGATTAACGGCATTAAGGTAAGGAATGATAAAGTTGATTCTTGGAGATGGGTTCATAGTGCTGATGGGGTCTATGATGTAAAAGCTGCTTATGATTTTTTAACACCTAATGATTATCTTCTTGATAGGAAATGATTTAGAATTATTTGGTGTAAATTTGCTCCTTCTAAATTGAGTGTTTTTGGGTGGAGATTATTTTTGGATAGGTTGGCAACAAATGATAATTTAATAAAAAGGGATTGTTTTGATGGGGAGGGACAGTGGTTGTGGGTTATGTGGTGAGGGAGTAGAATAGTTACAACATATCTTTTGTGAGTGTAAAGGGGTATAGTTTGTGTGGATGAAGGTATTGGGATGGTGGGGTTTGGAGAGTGTTTTGCCAAATGATATTTTTGGATTGGCAGAGTATGTGGTGAGTGGTATAGGGGGGGAGTGCTTGGTGGATTTATGAGCATTCATTTTTTTGATTGTTGCTTGGTTTGTTTGGTTCTGGAGGAATATGAAAGTGTTTGGGACAAAGGTGATGTCGGAGGTGGTATTATTGGAGTCTATATAGCATAAATCTTTTTTATGGCTTAAAAACAAGGAGATAGGTTGTGTGTTTTCCTATCAATATTGGACATCAAGACCTATGGAGTGCAGGGAATCTATTGTTCAACATCGTAACAATTTGAAAACTTACAAGCTGCTGAAAAGAGGCATGGGGTGAATTTTTCTTAATTTTCTGCAGTTTCATGTGTTAATTGTAAGGTCTTTTCTGCAGTTTCATATGTTACAGTTGAACCTTTGCTTGAAGATTGTACCGTGTGATTTGGAGTATTACTTGTACTCCTAATTAGTATATCTTCCATTTGATTTTGTTAATAAAAAAATATATTTTTTTGGTCATTATATCTTAAATTTTGTACTTTCTCTAGAACTTCTTCTACATAAAACTCTCAAATTTGTCCACTTTCCTTTTCTTTTGATCTCACTTTCTCGTTTTCAAATCTGCCCCTTCTCTCCTCACATCCACCCAAGAACTAGAAAAAGGAAAGTAGCTTCATATAAATCTATCTCAAACCTTAGTGTAACTGAAGGTGTCTTTAGGTTGGCTTTATGTAGATCTTAATTTGTAGGTGTTCTAGTCTCCATCTAGGTTTGTTGTGTGTATGAGTGTGTGAGAAGCTAAGGGAGATGATATCACACTAGCGGGTTGGTTGGAAAGAAAAATAAAATTAAAAAGGCTTGCAAACGTCTCACCGTCTTGCTTTTAACGGTCCAAAAAGAACCGTCAGCCATGAAATGGATGAGGGGAAAAAATTGAGCACTTTTTGAAAAGTAGAGAGAGGACATGAGGCGAATTCGTAGCAGAAGGGTTAATTAAACTTTTATTACATAGGAGAAAAATGACAGTTGGCTTTGATCCTAATTAGGGGGTGTTCATATCCGATTTAATCCGATTGATCTAACTTAAATTGATCCAATTCAATTAAAAACTTATCCAAATCAATATAAAGTTAGGTTGGTTTGAATTATAAAATTTTAAAACTGATATAATTGGTTTGGTTTGTGATTTTACTTTCAAACCGCTCGAATTGCTCGATTACAAAATAAAATCTAATTACAAGATAACTTAATTAAATAATATAATATATATTTTTTATAGTATTTTAAAATTTCTTTTTTTTTTATTTTATAAAATAATAACTCCATTAACTTAATTAAAAAATAAAAATAGAATATTTTCATATTCCCTAAGTTATTTTTTGATTTTAATCATGTATTTTAACCATAATTCTAAATTTTTAATTCACCCGCAACTCTATCATGTCATAATTGGTTTGCACCTTTACTCTTAAAATCCTAAATTTCTAATTTATTCCTAAAATAATATTATAATTCTTCTAACTAAGTTTTAAAGAAATATCATTATAAAAGTCTTAAAATTATATAATAAAACTAATCTTGATATTCTACTATTCTTAGATATTTAGTTTAAAATTTTTAAATTTTGATTATGAATGCTTCTAATCAATTTAAGTGATATTTATGTTAAATTTTATTTACTTATAACGGAATTTATAAGATGGTATTAAATTATTAATGCATTTTGAAAAACAAATCAATTTTAACTTTTAAGAATTATTTATGTTATACTAGAAATTTAAAATCATCTTTTGTTGTTCTTGGTGCCTCTAGTGATGCAACCAAGAAAAATTTTTGGATCTTTTCAATTTTTACAAATGTAAAAGAGTATAAGAACTTGTTTATAATTTATACCTTTTATTATGTTTTTATTTATTTGGATATTAATGTGTTTTATAGTTATGTTTTTTATTTGATGTTAAAATATTTTTATATTATTTTATATATTTAATAATATTAAAAACTAATTAATTCGATCAAATCACACTAATCTGATTTAAGTTGAATTAATTTGATTATCATATAATAATAAATTAAATTGATTTAAAAATTTTATTAGTTAATTAAATTAAATTAATTTAAAAAATATTAAAATTTAAATCCAATCACACCACGAAATACCCCAAACCCGAACAAAGTGGGTACTCACCGCACCTAACGAGGGAACTCTGGCTGTCTTTCTTTATAAGTCCTCTCTTCTCTAAAAAAGCCTCCAACACTTTCAAGTACTGTTCAGCAAAAAAAGAAAAAAAAACTCCAACACTTTGTGCCATGCCAAGTGACACTGCAAAAGTTGTGTAACTTTTGTCAGCTTTCTATTTTAAGATGATTATAAGCAAATCTATATGTATATACGGGAAAGTGGGCGTCAGTCCCACCTCTCAAAAAAAATTTGGAGTCCCAAAGCAAACGGCGTAGTTTTCCTCTAAAAAAACTCGACCTTGTTGTTCGTCTTTTCTCTCAAAAATCCAGCCCCTGCTCCTCGCGTCCTCTGACAATCATCTCCATCTCCTTCTTTGCCCCTTTTGCAATCATCCCCATCGCCTCCTCACCTCCTCGACTCCGCCCCTACAAAATACAATAAACCCCACAATCTCTCACAGCCAAGAAGGTAACAAAAAAAGAAAATGAAAATCCAATCTTCTGATTGGAATAATATTGATAAGAGAATAAGAAAAGAATAAAAGTATAACCAAAATCTGTATAAAAATCAGAGGAAATGAGCAGGATTTAAAATAAATTACCAAACCCAGATTTGGGTTTCTAATTAAAATCTATATGGAAATGAGAGGAAATGAAGAAAGCAACCATGGCTAGACCATTCAAAAACAAACCTAGAAAAGAAAATAAATGCTGCAACATCTTTGAAGACAACAAACCCAGATCTTTGAAGCCTTGCCATGCCTTCCCCTCCAAAGTGTTGGCAGTACAATGGAGATGTTAAGAGGAAAAAACAAATTCAAAATTCAACATGAAATTGAACGAAACCGAGAGGCAAGAGGAGCAACACAACATCAGAAACAATCAAAACCATCATTAATGAGCCCACGCAAGAAAAACAAATTTAGTTCAAATCCCATTTGCAGTAATCTTTTCACAACACTAAAATTCAAATCGAAATTCTCGATAATGAAACAAACTTGAATTTCGCATTAAACGCACAAGTATATTTCAATCCATAATCAAATGCGACCAAGAAAACAACATAATAATAAAAAAAAAAACTCATAAATTCAATTTGTGAACAGAACTCGGGAAAGAGAAAAGACGAGGAGCAGAACTCAGGCATCTTTGAAGACAACAAACCCAGATCTAGGTTTCCTCTATTATAAATAAAATTGCAACTTCAATTCTCATCATTTAATTTCAACACTATTATAACCAAAATCACAGCAACCAAAGTTGCAAAACCCAAATAAATTGGTTCGCAACTCCCTCAAGCTCGTGTGACAAAGGAACACAAATCTCGATTTCTTTTGTTCTATGGCACTTCGAGCTCGTGAGAGGCGTGGTTATGTCTCTTGGCTTCTAATCACCTCAACCTCACATGAGGGAAAAGGGGGAAAGGGAGAGATGGAGATGATTGCAGAGGGGGCGACATTACTGGTGAGCTTTTTGAGTGAGGAGGTGAGGAGGCGATGGAGATGATTGCAGAAGGGGCAAAGAAGGAGATGGAGATGATTGTCAGAGGAGGTGAGGAGTAGGGGTTGGATTTTTGAGAGAAAAGATGAACAGCAGAACTGAGTTTCTTTGGAGGAAAACGACACCATTTGGTATGGGACTCCAAATTTTTTTTGGGAGGTGGGACTGACGCCCACTTTCCCGATGTATATATATATATATATATATATTTATTAAAAGAGAAGGAAAAGAGAAACCAATAAGAGAAACTTTGTCACGTATCAATTTTCTATGTATCTTTTATATTTTGTATAGATATCATAACTTTTTCTCTTTAGTAAATTTTTTATTATTTTATATACATTATTGTTATTAAATGAGGTAAGTTACTAAGTCAAAAATTTTGAAAAAAAAATGGAAAATTTCTTCTATGATATGTCTAAGCTTTCCTTTATTATTAAGTAAATATTTAATTTTAAATATTATATAAATAACAATACTCTAACAAAATTTATTATAAATGTATTAAGAATTTATATAATGCCTATAATACCATTTTATGATATAATAGTTGAAATATTAAATTTTTATCAATTAATATTAATTAAATAAATTACTATAAAATTAAAAAAATGACAATTAAAACTCTTTTTATTTTCTCATTACTTTGTTCATCATTAAAGATGAACATATTTTATTCAATTTTAAATTATTTAATATTTAAAATTATTTTTTAAAATTTGAATTAATACAATTAAAAATTTAATTAATTGAAATATTTCACTTTAATTAACAATTAAAGATTAAAATATTTTTACTTGAAAAATTAAAAAAATTTAATTAATTACATAAATTG